GAGGGGGCCTAATTAAAATATTTGTGTATTTTTTCCTACCCCCGGGAGACTCTATTTTTTTATATATATAGCTGCGATTTTATTTAAAGAAAACGCGAAGGTATCGCAGCCTACCCGGGCCGTTCGGTGCTCTCTAACTCGCTGGCTGCGGTGCAGAAAGTACAGCTGGGCGAGGAAATTGGTTAATGAGGAGAGGACGGCCTGCACCAGCCTCCGCTCGCACAGGTCCAGCAGCTCCTCGCACCAGCACGCCACTTTTACTTACAAATTTGCATTGCTCCAGCAATGTTTTCCAAGTTTTATTTTCCTCCTTCCTTAATATGTTCGGTTCCAGAGAGGAATGTAGTATGTCAGTGGCTGAAATAATTTAAACTGCGTATTAGAACTGTAATTTGGTGGTGGTGGGGGTACTACTATTTACAAATTTCTGTCCAAAAATGCCCTATGATATTACATTTATTAACAGGCAACAGTTCCCATCCTGACAATTTACAGTGCAAGTTCCGAGAAAGTTTCTTTATGCAGCATAGCGTTACTTTTACATTCTTTAAATACGAAGCCAATATTTAAACAGCAAGTGACAGGTACATCTCCGGAGCTAGCTCAATTTTGTTGCTGCTCGGCTCCCAATTTGGGATAGAATGGCTACAAATACTGAGGGGGGGGCAGGAAACAAATTTTGCAAGCAGTGGAGTCACCATGACAAAAAATAATTTGTTTTTATTTTAGATTCAGATTTCATTACTGCACTCAAACTACTACAACTGGGCTTTGAGTTATTATACAATCCAAACTGTTTCAATCAGAAACTCTAAGACTCAGTGTGCAATGATTATTATTAATAATAATTAGCTCCTTGGTTTCTTGATAGAAAAAGGCTATCAACAAGCATTTGTTTAACCACAACAAAAGTATAATTAGCTTATCCCACTTAGTAAATCTGTATGCATGCCAACTCATACCAAACTGCTACTTTTACAAAAAATTGCAATAATACAGATCATTTTTCCAGTCCTTTTTGCACAAAATTTATTTACAATGTATACATAAATGCTCCATGATGGGACTATGGAAAAAAAAAAAAAATGCACACATGACCGATGTTTTGCCCAGAAAGAAAGTCAACATATTAAAAATAAATCTTCAGTCCATGTTTTGAGCTGCATAAAACAGGAAGTGATGTACAAGGTGGTGGTTGCTGCATGGGGACAAGGATGCTCTGATGTGACAATTAGGCTTCAAATACACTGCCTTTCCGTTTCCATGCTTCCTCCTACCAGTCTCCTTAAGACACTGCCTGCAACAGCTGATTAATCATTGTTGATGACTGCAGTTTTTCCCATCCTTCCCGATTTACATCTGTTCAGGCCAATTCAAATATGGTGAGTAAATGAATTAGACATGCAAATTCACGCCCCAGGCTAGAAAGAGAGAGAGGGAGAGAGAACTGGGAGAAAGGGACAGAAAGGGAAGAAAGACAGACGGAGAGAGGAGAGAGGAGAGAGGAGAGAGAGAGAGAGAGTGTGCATGGCTGAAATCCTAGGATAGAAGAAAGATTCTTCTGCCTGACATAGTTATTTTAATGCTCTAAAAATCCTGCAAATAAGCCCTTTCTGTCATTTGCAGGATAAGTGTAAGGCTTCTTTTTTTTTTAATGTAAGGAGGCTTCTGGAGGAAGTGAAGAGCTATGGAAACAACACACATAGTGTGGAAAAATTTCACATTTTTTTTAAAAAATCTATAAGAAACAACGTAATATGGATAACAGTATAATAGCATTTTACAATATTTCACTCTTTGTTCTCTTAATGTCTTATATAGGTATTTAGCATGTCCCCAGAAGTTGACTTCAGTTGGTGTTTTCCTGCTTTTCAGGGTCCCTGTGAAGAATCGGAACGTCCCTTGGTCCAAAGTTGACGCCAAGAACTCCATAGTCATTGCAGAAAGACAATGTTTGAAATCTACCGTCGCTGCAGACAACGCGTATTTCCCTTAAGCTACTGAGCATGAATGTCCATCACTTGTCCGCTCACTGCCGGCTCGCCGGTATGAAGCATTGTGGGGCTTGATGCTGACATGGGCATTCCAGGGTGGGGTGGTCCTCCATGCATCATCATCGCTGGGTGGTGAGGGTGTCCAGGAATGTAGGTATGCATGGGGGGGCCATGACGCAGCTGAGCAGGATGGGGGGGCATCTGGGGTGGGGTATAGCTTGGCTGTCCCATATTCATACCCATTGGACTACCCCGAGATACATAATCCCCTGGCATACTTTGCAGCCCTGCAGAGAGAAAGAGGCGGCGGTGAGTGGTAGGGACCAGCTACCGACATCGGGCCGTGAAGCTCCTCCACTTGGGCACGGGAAGGCCGGGCTCGAGCCAAAGGTGGGACACAGCGTCATGGACGCGCGAGTCCAGTTGCCTTTGTGGGATCCAAGCCTATGTATGGACTCACAACCATGGCAACGGGAACGATTCCCAGGTCAAAAAACCCCCCAAGAGCCTTCCCCCCCCCCCCCTCCCCAAATGCCGAGTTTCGGGAGGTAAAAGCACTTTCTGCTTTTATGGTTGGAAACGTATGCGATGGAGATGCTTCCCATCTGGAAGCACGCTGGAGGCAGAGTCAGCCTGATGACGACTGGCATCACACGGGGTGGTGGCACCAAGCTGGGGAAGCCCTGTGAGGAGGGCTCTCAGGTGGGCTCCATCCCCCGTGGCCTTGCTCCAGCTACCCGCCTTCGTCACCCCACTTGTAAAAGCGTGCTGGGAATACAAGGCGGGGAATCCGCAGTAGTTAATGAGGGGCTTGGGAGGAGAGATGGGTTAAATTGGCGTCGAGGTTTATCAACAGTTATTTATTTAGCTCTCGAGCCCGAGCACTTGGAATCTGTCCCACGTATTTGTGCCATTCAAACAGACGCTATACAGCAAGCACGTACATCGCTGAACAAAGGCCTCGTATGAAGCCGAAATTGATAGGATTACTAAGGACAATTGTTAAATCAAACCTGTATTTTTAAACACATTAAAAATATATATGTAATCAATAACAGTTATCAATTAATTCTTTCCCCTTGCTCACTTCTGTCCGAAAAAATCAGACGCGCAACTCAGTCAACCTTTCAGTGGGTTTGGGAGAACAATAAGAAAAAAATTGGACCTAAAACAATAAAACCTCCTGCTTTCCGTGGGCCTCTGCCTTCTGCTTGGATTGCTGTAGCTGATGGGAACTGACAGGTGTATTGTTTCGGAGAGCTATAAGCTCCATAATCATCAAGGGTGAAAGGCATACGCTATTGCTAAGTAGGTTCAATTGGCTTTAGTTCTAAGTAAGAGCGCGCTGTGAATGCGCCGAACACCTTGGAATCAGGTCTCAAGGCTCTAGCAATGAATAGCTGCTTAATCTAGCCTAAAGGAACAGTTTTGAACTAATGAAAATTGCTTATAAAATATACTGTACTCACAGCTCTTTAATCAAAAAAGATGATAATATTTTTTGTAATAACCTATTAATTTAATTGGTCATGAAGCATAAAATACATCATTTAAATTTAATTGACCCAGAAACTAAGAAACAATATTTAAATTAACTAAGCTAGAAATTTCCATGATGAGGTAATAAGGCTGTTGCATTCCCAAGCTCCGAGGAATGTTTTCACAGCTAATTGTTAAAACTTAGTTTTGACTCGCGCCCAGAGAAGATGACTATGAAATACGCTTGGCCTGGGTAACTTCAAGCCCTACGTTAATATAGGCTGGGGCACAACAAGGATGCCGAAATAACTGCTTTTAACTCCGGAAAGAGAGCGAGAGGAACAGAATCAGGCTCCATTTAAACGTGGTGCCAGTGCCTCGGTGTTTCAAACTGCTTTACTCTTTTTTTTTAAAAAAAACCAAAACAACAAAATTTTGTATAATGTATTTTCCCCTATAAAAAGACAAGAGGGGAAAAAAAAAAAAAAAACTGGGACAGTTTTTCTAGGCTTTCTTCACGAGGCCTGCCACTGAAGATTGCATTAATGATCTCTATTTTTGTATACTGAATAAGTCAAATCCATTTGTCACACTGCAAGTGATGGCATACTTAATTTGGATATAGTCAATTAGCCTGGGCTAAGCTCCATAGCCTGCTGCGCACACCTCTATTTTGTATTCTCTCTTTTTCCTTTGCCACACGTAATCCCATTATGACGGACAGACAAAGAGAAATAAACTTGAAAAAAAAAAAAAATCAAAGTTTCGCCCATCGCTTTCCAAAACGCAACTAAGTGAAGCCGCCGTTTATTTTTACTTTTTTTTTACCTATGAGAAGTCTCTGTTTGGCTTTTTTGGTGTCTTGCAGGTTAGCGGGAGAAATGTAACTCATGCATCAACTGCGGTTAGACAGATTTATGACACTTTGGGGACATGCTCTTTCCTCTCCCTGCGCTGCTGCAGACCGCTTACATTTTGCAAATCAGTCTGTTGCCAAGACGACGGGCTCCCCCACCTCCCCGGCTGCTTCTTGTTTTGTCATGTGCTCGGGGATGGATAATAGCATCAATGTATGGCGGCGTCAATGTACGGCGGCGTCAATGTACGGCGCGCGCGCGCACGGGGGGTTTGGGAGCTTGGAAAGCTTGCGCTGAACCAGAGGGACAGAAACCCGAAGGAGCCCAGGCGTAGGATGGATGGATGGAAAGGAAGGAACAAGCATGAGGCTATGGGCAGGGAGAACATAGGGAAATGCAAGGAGACAAATATCCCTAGGACAAAGTGAGAACAAAGACCCCGTTTGTACTTACTTCCCCCTGGCTTTGCCATTGGTTACCTAGGTGAAGGTTACATGTAGTGCCACTGCCCCTCCATGCCCATATTCATGCCCATTCCACTCATAGGTCCTAGAGGGAGATAAAAATCCAAGAAGATGCCAGAGAATGAGCAAAGTCAACAGATAGTGCCAAAAGCCCCTTTCCAAAACACAGCACGGCAGGGGGTCCAGGACCACTCGAGTGAGAAGATGCCTGGTTTCCCTCGGCGGTGTTGAAGGCAGGCAGAAGACAGGCGAGGCAAGGCAGGCAGCTGAGACGACGGCGGAGGGCGGAGGTGCGGTTACCTGCGGTGGCACGACCAAGGTCACCCATGGGTGGGGGACACTCCCCCGGGGCTTACCTGGCGCTCGGATGCCCATGTGCTGCTGGCCATCCATCACGAAACCTCCCATCGGCTGCCCGTCGGGGTTATAGGGTGTTCCTTGACTTACTGGAAAAGCACAGAATATTGCTTTTTAGTGACTGCCAAAAGGGTCACCCCTTCTCATGGCGTCAAGACACGAACCCCCCCCCCTGCCGGACTGCGTGAGATGGCTATCGATGCTGGCACTAAAAAGAGGGAAAAAAGTCTCCTGTTCAAATTTAGCGGCTGGGCTAACAAGCTTGCTTAGTTTTGGCTTAATTTCCTACTGCGAGTTTGGAAATGAAGTTAGCGATCCGAAATCTCAAGACACGAGGAGCCCCGGCTCCAGCTGCTGCCGCTGCTGACGTCAATGCAAAGACCTGTATGGGAGCTGGATTTTATGGCTGGAATAGTCACACTGAAATCGCAGTGTGTTAAATTACGCCCGTGTGCCTTTCTAAGAGCAGGACCTGAACACGTCCGTGCCAGATATTTACCTCTAATGACAAAATAATCGAATGTACTTGAAGAGGAAGCGTGGCCCAAAGGCATCTTGCACAATGATGGATTTGGATAGTTTGGCAGCGAGACTTGGAAAACAAAACCAACTGAGAGTAATGGGCTATATTCCTCGATAGTAAATACCCACACAGAGCTGTGAGCCAAAACCCCAGACAGAACCAACATGATAAAACTTCAGATTTAAAAAAAATATATATAAAAATAAATCCCCCCGAAGTAAAACCCAAACACTCAGCAATCCCAAAAGACAGCTACTAAAAAGAAGAGACAACAGACAAAAGGACCCTATACAAGTACCACTATACCTGAACTCGAGGTTTTAACTGTACATTAAAAGCCGGCTTCAGAAGTAAGCTGCCTTGGGTTATTAAAGCACATAAAGCTCTACCTCATTGAATGTCTTTGAACTTTACTGAGTCCCACAAGCGATTCTGACCCCTTTGCCCTTTTGACAGGTAATAAAGTTTACAGCAATTCCACACCAAGCCATGCACCAGGGAGTGGTCACAGGAGCAGAAAGAGCTGGGAAGGAAAACTCAAACAACTACTAAAAAAAAAAAAGAAAATAACTTTAATTCCGAACGTGTACGGAAAGTCCGGTCACGAAGCGGATCATTTGAGGTGGTTTTTTTTTTTTTTTAATTTTCAATGTCTTTTTTTCCCCAAAATATTTTCATCATGTTAAAATGATTAGGGTTTTAATGAAACAAAGCTGGTTGTATTTTAATTGTCAATCACTCCCAGCATTCATTTCTCATTTATTTACCAGGTAATGGACCTCCCGGTGAATGGCTTGAGGATGGTTTTCGCCTGCGTGACTTGAATACAGTTACTATTGGGGACTTGCCTGCTCGATTGGACTGGTCTATCATGGGCTGAACTATTCTTCTTCTAGCATTAATAAACCTGCAACAAAAAAAAAAGAGGAAAGCAAACGGTTATGGAAGGGACGACTTCCACCCATCCCCAAGCCCTCTCACCCTGCCGCGGCGCTCTCCATCGGGCTGAGCATGGATGCAAATACTGCAAAACCTCTAACCCCGATGACCTTTGAGAGTACGAGCTTGGGGTTTCCGAGCTGATTTATGTTTGCCTGCTTTTTACCACAGTCGGACACTTCCATTTCATCTTTTCATGGGGGAATTAGCTGAGTTTTCAGGAAACAATACCAGCAACGCTTTTCTCAATTCAGAAAGGGGCACAAAAAAAAAAAAAACCCACGGGTGAAGCCGGCGAGATGCTCGTGAGGGCATCTGCTACCTCCCCCTCATTAGTGCCATTTCTGCCTTATGTCCTCCGAATTCTTTTTTTCCAATTTTTTTTTATCAAAACCTGCCCCTACCTCTTGCAAACCTAATTCCCTTTTAATGCCCACTATTAAGATAATGAACTGTGATGGCAGAACCCCATCAAATGAGGGAACGTCTGGAGTTTTATCACCGCTAAGTCACACTGCTGGGGACTTCAGAGCCGTGCATTCCTCCTAGCCATTTCTTGGTGGGCTTTTTCCCCCCCTCTCTCTTTATGCAAAGTCTGAGGGGTCAAGGCGAGGTCATAGCTTTACAGTAATTGAATTTATAATCCTGTTTTCTCCAGCTAGGCCTGACCATTTACAGCAAACATCTTGTTAAACTGTAATTACTGGACTACTGAAAATTCCCCCCGAACAATGAAAAGCAGATCTTTGGAAATAAAAAAAAAAAAAAAAAAAAAAAAAAAAGGTACAGTCTTTTTTAAAAATAGCCATCTGCAACCGTACTCCATGCATTTTTGCAGCTCTTCGCCTCAGTTAGTCTTGCTATGCTTATTTGGAAAAGGAATATTCAAAGCAATTTGGAGCGAAACAGAAGAAGAAGAGGGATCACATGTGCCCCGGTCCCCTCTGCGGGCAGTCCTCGTGGCGCTAAAATCAGGAGGGTCGAAACCATGGCTGGGAACCTGTCTGAAGAGCCTCGGAAGAACTTCTCTTGCGGTTTTGCTCATCAGAGAGCTTAGTTAAAAACCATTTGGAAAACATCTCCATCGAGATTTAATCACAGCAAAGCCTCATAACCAGACTTTACACGCTTTACGAGAGAGAAAACGAATAATAAAAATGTGTATTCGACAATATTTACTAGTGAAGGAAGAAGCGTGAGCATAAGTAAAACCACACCACACTTGCAAAACGCAATGGGAAAGTCTACAAAGGGCTACTTGGTGCTTGTTTTCATTGCCTTTGCTTGGGGTGGCTTAGCAGGAGCTCTCCTACCGCAGAGACAAAGCCACCAGGACCTTCCCGTGGGAATCAGCTCTGCCCACCCATTCCCTTACACCGGCAGGGAGAAGAATCACAAACCAGCACCCCATGCTGTTTGGTTTTGCCCTCATCAAAGACCAGCACAGCGATTTCGCTCTCCTCCTATCTCCCGTCCTTGGCTGACTCCCATTACCCAAACTCTCACAAAAATTAATCAAGATGTTGAGTCCTCATCAAACCTGTCTTGACAAAATGGGCTCAAAGGTACCAATTCCGGGTACCGATCTGGAAACCTTACACCTGAACTAGGTCACGTTATGTCAGCAACAGTATTGGATCAATTTTTGTACACATTTCCAATAAAAAAAACAATCCTCAACTCCAGCAAACGGTGTTGCAAATCAGTTTATCATTATCTTGTACAAACCATGAAAATTAGAATCATGTGAGCAGAAGGTTAGACTAATTCTCCTTTCTCATTATAAGCACAGGTGTAGCACAAACATCATGTGAAATAAGCAATTAAAAAAAATCTGCTTTTTTTCCCCCATTAGCTGCCTTAGCTCCATGACCAATTAGAAAATTGTTTAATATCTGTAATCTGCATTTGCAGAAAGCAATTTTCGCAGTAACTCTCCTAAGTAAAACAACAACACAAAGCCCCGGTGCCACAGCCATTTCTTTCTGCAAGCCTGGCAGGCTCTTGCTGTGTTTACTCCATCCTCCTGCCTGATTGCCAGGCTCTGCTACCATGGCAGGTTTTTGGTAGCCATGAGATAGGCTGATCACCAAAACCTTCATTTGCCAAAAGCTTTTACCCCAAAGAAACCCTGAGCAACATTAAGCACGCACACCCCAACTTCACAACCTTCTCTTCCTTCTCCTCCAAACTACAAACGAAGGAAGGAGGGTGTCTCATAATAATGAACTATATAGCTAGAGTAATAAACTATATAGCTAGAATTTACCAATAATTATCCACAAGATGTACCTACAGTAAAACACATTCTCACCTGTTTGCCCCACGCTATCGCTTGGGATATCTGCTTTAAGAACATTTTACACACAGGTAGTTAACAGTTATCTTCTTCCTACGCATTCGTATGAGTATTTTCTATAAGTAGCAATTCTGCCAAACAGCGCAGTGTTTGGATGTCTTCGGGGGAAATTCAGACACAAGAACATTTTCCTTCTGGGCAAAGTAATAAAATGACATTCTCGCTCCTCCCACTAGAAGTCAAACGGAGGTCAGCTCCCCATCCTTGTATCTGTTTAAATAAACTGGTCCAGCTGTTTGTTTCCAGGATGCCCTTTAACCTTCTGTCCCATCCTCCCTGCCTTTGTAAAAGAACGCTTTACTTTGCATTATAGTAGACTCCAAACCACTATGCATTTAAAAAAAAAAAAAAGAAGAAGAAGAAAGTATTCACTTTCAAGTTTCTTCCTGCATCCCAAACCTGGAATTCGTAAGAACCCATCAGATTAAAACTATTAATGTGGCTTGCCTTGAGAGAGCATAATGCAGTACTGTTATGTTTATAAATCACATCTGAGAAATCTTTGCAAGCAAAATTGCAAATTAGCTGTCGCTGCAGAAACATACAGGCATGGGGATAATTTCTTCAAACTCTCTGGTTTTTTTTCTGTGATAGAAGGGCCAAGATCTTTTGATCACTCTTTGAATTTCCAAAGCACCAGGCTGACGTAACACCAGCAAAAATGATGGAACAGAAAAGCTAATAGGAAAAATCTCGCTGCCCCTCTTCCCATGTGTTCACATTCACCTATCTTAAGAGAAAGAAACCTTAAATCACTTAATCTTTAAAAGTTCAGAGGAATCAAGACCTAAAAAAGATATTTGTGTATTAAGTGCAACTCAAATGGAGCATTCTCAAAATACGACTCGGCATAAAACTTAAGTTAATGATTAAGACAGCCGCATAACCTTACTCATGTGAGTAAAGACCTGCACAGGCTCCAAGACTTGCCGGAAGTATTTTTCCCCATGCCAGTGCTCTATCCATCGGTACCTTTGCTCCGATGTGGAAGGGGTTTTTTGGTTTGGATATTTCCCCCCAAAAAGTGAAACCAATAGCAGCACAAACAGCGTGAGATCCCTCAGTGTACAAGTTGTACCCATCTCCCCAACCAAGGAGAGCTGAGGACTCTGCAAAACAGTGCTTTGCGTTGCTTTTTTTTTTTTTCCTTTTTTTTTTTTAAAACTTGCAAGGGAAGGATCTGGCATGGAGGAAACATTTGAACAGTTGGGCAAACACAGAAGTTTAAAGTATTTATTATGTTTTCGAGTTAACTTTTCCTTGCCCTTATGGATACATGAGATTGCGCTTTCCGCTGTGTCCCAAAAAGCAAGAAAAACCCAGCTATTCCACCTGCAAAACCCTTAAGAGAAGTAGGAAACCCTCCTTTATCCAATTTGCATTTTAGTAGGATGTTTTCTCTTAGGCTTCTCGCCCGGGGTCTGTCTCCAGAGGTGACTGGCAGTCTCCCCGGTTGGTGCGTCCCCGGTCCCACGGGTGAGATCCAGCCCCGGCCCCGGGGACGCAGCAATCTGCCTCTGCACTCTGACCTTCAGCTTGGCCGCCCTCGCTGCCACGCACAAGTTTTGTTTCTTCTCAGCGAGGGGCGGCATGGCTGGTGATGACAAAAGACTTATTTTAGTTGGAAATTGGCTACAATAATAGCAGCCAGAGAGCAAGGATTTTCGGAGGGTCACCAAACCCTCCAAAAGGCACAGTTTGCTGAGGCTCAGGTTACAGCCCGAGTGACATTTTCCGCACAGATCTGGTCTTTCTCCCTTCCCCTTGTATTTCACTTCTGTTGAGTGAATAAAACAAGACCTTCCTCCGCTGTCATGAATTTCCAAAGTCACCTTTGCTCAAGAATCGACAGAGCGATTGTGGGGACTTCCAATTTGCAGTCTTTGAATGAAATTTTCCAGGACCAGCTGTCTGAAAAGCGATGCTGAGACTTAGCGGTATATTGAATTTTTCTCTCCCCGCAGCCCTCCCATATGAGGAGAGTTTCACACCGTTACTAACTGTTGATACTTGGGAGTTGCAGGCTGCTCCTTCTCAATATTGTCCCAAAGTGCCGCACGCCAGAAGTCTGTGCATCACTAGCAGTGCCAAGAAATTCCCGAAAATCTCTGCCTCATTTTCTCCTTGAGCTCCTTCTAGCAAAACAGGCGTAAGGACGATGAGAAAGCGCACAGTACCTACAAAGCCCACTGCTAAAATGTCTCTTGCCCTGAAAAAACAGTATCCCCCTTGACAACAAACAATCATCGTTTTTATAACAGATGCCAAAGTAACCGGAGCCCTTCACACCGGCAAATAATTCACTTGTAAAACCAGCCATACTCCTTGCTGCATACTGGGATCCTTCATTTACAGAGCAGCAAAACAACCTTCTCTATTCAGCACTTAATTCCTCAACGCTTAACAGGTTTATCTCTGATAAAAACAATTTAAATGGAAAGTGTGCTATAAACCGGGATTATTACACTTCAGTAACTGCTTTATTCCTTATTTTAACATATTTTCATTTTTTCCTGTGTATTTGTTTTCCAGAGCTTTTTAAAGGAGTCAGTTAAAGAAAAGGAAAAAAAAAACACTCAGAAATTATTTCACCGAATACTTTCAAAGAT